AACCATCGCAGAAGTCAACATTGCACAAACAGCTGAGCAGACACGATGAATGCCAGCCTCTGGCTGTTTTCTGCTTTTACTGTGACTTGAGTTGTGCAAAACAGGACGTGCTGCCGTGACAATGGCTTTATTTGTGGCTGAGAAATGTACTTTTGAAAACTTTGCAGCCCATCAGTCCCTTGGGCTGAAGCTTAGCCATGCTGGTGGGGCTAGGCTCCCGTTGGTGGGCCCCATTCCAATGGCAGCCATGATTTCCCTCTGCTCTGCCGGCATATTGCACTCCTAAGACAGGGGGTGCGGCTTTGGCCTTTCAGGGACCCCTGCTGTGAAGGCCCCAGGTGCTGCAGTGAGGGTGAGGGCGCTGGCTGATGTACACAGGACGCCGTGGAAGCAGGAAGACTTACTGGGAAACCAACCCTCTTCTGCCCCGGACTCTGGGCCTAGACATACGGTTCAATCCTGGGTGATAGCTACATGTTGGAAGACCTCAAGGAAAGGTGACTCCCTCAGACAGTGGCCCAAGGGTATGCAGTGGGTTTTGAGCCAGGAGGTTGCAGGAGGCTGCAGTCCCTTCGGCGGGAACTTCTGGTCTGTTCTGCTGAATGCCCTCCGAATCCTTACTGGGCTCCTCCAGCCATGTTCCAAAATGAAGTTTTCTACAGAGTCATGAAGACATTCTTTAGGAATCAGCGCCTGATTTCCATCCTGGTTCTGTGACTTAGAGGCTGTGTGACCTCATGCAGGTTGCTTAACCTCTCTGAACCTCAGGTCCCTTGTGGGGTTTAGATGGGAAGGAAATGCAGTTATACATAAAGGGCCCCATAGCAACCAAATCCCAGTCCAGCTCCTTGATGTCTAAATGGCCAAGGGCAAGAGACAGTTTCACAGAGCTTCAGTTTTCTCTTTCTGACCCGGGAGTAGTAAGAGTGTTTACTCCAGGGTTAAATGACACAAGCCCCTAAGTTAGATGAACCGTGAGCTTGACATATAGTCAAAACGCAGCAAATAGTTCCTCTGATACTAGTAGAGTTGGAAATGGTAACTTGGAGTACAGGAGCAAGTATAATTTTCAGGCTCCTGGTGCCCAGCGAAATATGTCCGAACTTCCTTTCCCTGACTCCTGGATTTCCACCAACAGTATTTATTGAACATCTAGCAAACGGCAGTCAGGTTGCAGGCACAAGGGCCCCGGAACCCAGCACCAAGCAGAGCAGGTGTGTTTCTTATTCTTGTGCAGCTTCATGTGTAGTGCAATTGCCAGAAAAGCAAATTATGTTGTGGATTTAGAATTCCATCAAGCCATACACACGTTAAAGAAAGTTTGGAGTCATGAGGGTTGAGAATAGGGTGCTGGTTTGGTCTGGGGATCGGTGGGGACAGGGAGACTTCTGGTGGCAGAAAAGCTTGATGTGAAGATGGGAGACGGGACCAAGCCTGTCCAGGTGTCTCGCACCTGAGCCTGTGGGGGCCCTGGGGCTAGACTGCTTCCCCCAGCCTCTCCCTCCGCAGGAGCACAGTTCAGACAGTAATATAGTCAGTGGTGTCCAGGCCACCAGCAGCGAACAGAGAGGCGCTCAGATACGCACTTGTGCTTTGCAGAATGAAAAGTGACCCAAGCCGGGAGGTGGAGGCCCAGCTGGAAACTCGCCCAAACAGGGGAGAGCTGGAAACCACACCCGAGAGCCCCCAGCTACCTGGGGGGACCCAGACAGAAGTGGCATTCTTCCCGCCCTAAGTCCCATGTCCCTTTTCTTTTTACTGAGCTAAAAGGTGTGGGTCAAGACTGCTGGTTTCTCCTCTGTGTTTGGGGGTGACGCCTGACCTCAGCACCAGGCAGGGGCAGGACTGATCTCCGCAGATTGCAGAAACCTCAGCGCCAACCAGAGGTCACATCAATTCTTGAGGACTATTCTCTTAGTCCTGCCATGGTCAGAGGTGGCCATTTCTGGAAGATGCATCTGTAACTCAGACTGAGACACCTCTTAGGGGATTTTGAATTTTTTCTTCCGCTAACTGCGTCCCTTCCACTGCTTTTCCTTGTCTTACCTTTTAAATAGCAACAGCTACCTGATATACAATAGCTGACTTTATTTGTTGTTGTTGTTGCTGAACTTTGAGGGGCCTGACTTTAGCTGACCAACTGCAAGCAATAGCTTGATTATATTTCTATCAACAAGCTCTCTTGACACAAGCAATTACTTCTTTTCCAGAGCACACCCTGATGCTCTCTGAAATGTTTTCTCCCTTCCCAGTTTTGCCTGAACTTCACCCACTGAAGAAACCAACTGTAAATATTCGGTATTTCCCTGCACCTTGGTGGTCCACAAACTTTCCCCTGCGGGCCTGGATGTCAGCTTAAAGCCAACACAAATGGGAAGGGAGCCCAGGCTGTGTCTCAGCCCCTGAGGCTGTTCCTT